TGGATTTTATAGTGATACTATTAAATGCAGCAGGAGCACTGGTTAAATAAGCAGGAGAGGACAGAGCTGACTAGTTTGGTGTTCATTTCTTTGTCAGCTGCCACTGGAATAGTGTTCAGATTAATGTGATTACTCTTTGCAGTGGCTGCAAGTTCATAGACCAACTGTGCACTTGTATCAAAGTCATTAGAATGATTTTAGTCCAGGTTTCCTACCAGAATTATTTATATAAAATGCATTTGAAATTCTATACTGGCCATTTACACGTGAGGATTTCTATTTCAGGAAGCTTTGGAAATAGCCAGGATCTTCAACTGCACCCTTTCCAAAAGATACAAGATCCTTTTAACATTTAATGATGACTGAGAAGGTGCTTAAAAATAACTTAGAAGCACAAAACCCATTAGTGTGGTCCGTACCAGTTACAGGACTGGACTAACAGTTAAATTTTGGATTCTATTTGCTTTTCTCGTCCTTTCTTGCTTCATGACCTCAGGTGAATTGCCTGGTTTCCCTTGATAAATGAGCTTAATACTTATCTATTGTCCGTATTTACGTTATTACATTTAGGAGGTGATAGAATCTGAATTCATCTTCTCTGAGGAAAGAACTGTAAAACTCTGTGGTGGTCAGGTAGTATAAAATATACCCTTCTACATGACTGCACATGGTATTATCTGCTGCATAATTTGCTGGGTATCAAGTCATTTCCCACGCAAAAGGTCCCTAGCTAGCGATGGTGCGAGTTCTTTTGGGAGGGATTATGCTTACACATATATATTTACAATATTCAACATAATAGCAAGCTAATCTGGACTGTATCATTTTTGCTTTGCTACAATTTATACAATATAGGTAATCAATTAGTCTGATTCTCCTGCATTCTGCTAAATGGAACATGAACAGCTCATAATGGGCAGCAGTAAATAGACATTTGTATGTACACAGGTACCCTGTGAGGTGAAGGGGCCGTGCAGGAGACGAGGTACTGAACAAAACAGCCCTACATAAAACCAGGCTTTCATTTAAAGGAAGAAAAATGTCACTGAAAGCTGCAAGGTTATTAGCATTACTATGCATGAGCAGTAGTCAAAGAAGATGTTACAAGAGGAAGAGAGACATTATTCAAGTGTCTAGGAAGATGGACCATCATCAGCAGTGGAGAGAGAAAAGGCTTTCAAAGGAATAGCATAGCATTTCAAACATTAAATTATAAGGGGACTGAAGCTTTAAAAGGTATGTTGGAGTTTCTGCATTATTTATAATTTGAGATTGCCTTTCCCCCTAGATGCTTAAGTTTTGTTCCATTCATACAGAAAAGTCCTTCTCAGCTTCTGGACACTGAGCCAGCTCTAAGTTGTGGGATATGATTTACTCTAAGAAGACATTGATTACCTGCAATGCTGCAGTAGGTTAAAGCTGCTGCTTAGAAAGGTTGGGGAAGTGAGAAAAATTTGGCTACCATTACTCTGGAACCTGGGAATGCTGGGCTTGGAATTAATTATTATTTTGTATTTTTATTGCGTCCATAACAACCATTTCCAGGCACTGACAGAATTTCACAGTGCTAGGTGCTGTCCTTTCCTCAACACAATTTAAGGTCTTCTGGACATCTTTTTTGAACCCAGTGCAGAGCTGCACTGACAGTGCAATCACTCAGAGTGCAGAAGCTTACACTAAGAAAAAACCCTGCAAAAATATAGCTTATATCAGTTGCCTGAGCAAAAGAAGCTGTATTGGCAAAAAGAAACTTTTTTTCCCCTTTTGCTCATATTGTAGCTGTGTCTACGTTAGGGCTTTTGCTTGCATAGCTGAAAAAAAAATCACACTTCTAGCTGACAGGGAGACGCTGACAATTTTTTAAATAGATGATGGATCAGTGTGTGTTTTGGGGGGGGGAGGGGAGGGGTGAACCTGGTTTAAAATAGAAGTTTCTAAAATTGGTTTGCACAGATACCCTTAAAATGGCAAGTACTACCCTTGCCAATAGCCTCCTGCTTCCTGGCCCTCCTGTCCTTCTCATCGAGTCTCAGATCCCAGCCCGGTATTCCCCTTCCCTTCACCTTGTCTGCCCCATACCCTGGTGTGTCCAGCTGGGGACTCTTGCCTGCTGTCCTTCAGTTCTCCTGCCTGGCTTCTGCCCTGCTGCCATCCCACTTCCACGACTCTGCCCCCTTTCCCTGCAGGCAAACACCTTCACTGAAGCTCCAGCCCAGCCCCTCTGCCACCAGGAGTTGCTCCCTGAAGTGTTTCTTACCTTCCTCCCGAGGCCTCCATCGGGTGTGACAGCTCAGGCTTTGCATACAAACACAAGTCCTCCAAACACTCTGTGCCACTGCAAAATGCTTCATTTCCTTTGGCCAAGCTGCACACTGAGTCAAAGAGAGAGCAGAGCAATTCTCATTTCTAACAGAGAGGCACAGACTTTCCAGAACATCTGGAGGAGGAGGTGGGCTGTGATAAGATCACAGGACTAGAGGTATAAAGGTTGGTTCTATTGCTGCTTGCCCTGACCAGACAATTACTATGTTTCCCTTGTTCCATCAGTTCAGGTTGGTTGATTGGTTGGCCCAAAGCCATTATATGCACTAAGTCCAGAGGAAGGTATGGATTCCAGAGCTATTTTGATCTTTCTGTGTCATCTTTGGACTAAAGTTACTGCTTTGGTGCGTCAGATTCCCTGTGTATAAAATGAGACTTCACAGGTGTAACGTATGAACCTTAATTTAACCAAACTGGAAATGGGGTGAGGTCCTGTGGTGGTTGAATCTGCTGAAGTGCAAGGAGTAGAGATTAGCTGGTCCCCAGAGGACTAACATGCCTTTGGAAGCAAAATTTTATGAAAAAATGTTGCTAAATAATCTGCAGAGGTTGTGAGGGAGTGAGGGGTCAGAAGCAAGCAGGCTCCTGAGCAGACAGCAGCCTGGACAAACAGGTCCTTGAACCACCCACAAGTGTTGGTGTACATAGCCAGCACACCACAGTCCTTACTGTGGTTATTGCAGGTAATTCATAGGTTATACATCTGGAAATGAGGCAGATTTTTTTTTTTTTTTAAAGGAGCAGTGAGAGTAGTTGTTTTAATTTCTTTTCGAATATGAAAGTTTAAGTACTTAAATACCTTTTAACTAAGTAACCCAAGCCCATTGGTATCAATTATTTGTTCAGCGTTTAAACTGACATTTCATAAGTATGTTAATTGATACTGCACTAACTTACTATAGGTATCTTCCTAAGTGCCAATTATCTGCCTCAACATTCCCCACAATTTAAGTTTGTTAGTAAGAAGCTAATTACACTAGTTTATTGCTGATGGAATTACATGAAGAGTAGATTTCACTCTTACATACTTATTAGACCTCAATAAGTGATCCTTAGCAGTCTGTTGCTATTCAATTAACAAGTAATAACTTACTTAATGAATCTAATTGAAATGCTTGTTTCAGTCAGGCACCTAACATAAAGCGCTTTACTTTGAGCACTTTTCTGAGAACTAGTCTTGTTTACTTAATAAGAACAAAATGGGGCCACTGAGGAAAACTCAGGAGTGGGATGAGACCTGAACCACTATTGGCAGAGACCTGCCAAACATAACCAAAAGTGATCTGCCAGGTGATTTCTGTTCTACTGAAATATCATGGGAATAAACCAAGACTTTTGTTCTTTGAGGGTTTTAAATCCATGGAGAGGATTCTGCAGCATGAAATTCTCCTGACACATTAGCTCTGCCTCCTGTGCTGGATGTAAACACACTGGCTGCTCCGCTGGGAGTGCACAGCTCTGGTGCTCTGCTCTGGACGCTGTCACTGAGTTCAACTCACTCCTTTTGCTTTTGAGTCTGCAAGTTTGGCTTAAGAGATTGATACAACTGTGATGATGGCTCTATTTAATGATCTAAAAAAACCTATTAGCATAATTACAGCCAAAAAGAGAATGTAACGTAACTGGAGGGTTTTATACTGTTCCATGTCCTTCAGTGAGACTGACTTAGTGTCATCACCATGAATTTAATCTTTGCTCATGAGCAGAACCTGTGCTGAGCTGTCTTGAGTGACCACTCCTGAGGTGAGCAAAACACAGTTGCTAGGAAGAGACTGGTTCCTTACAAAAGTGGCAAGGAGGTGTGTGCAGTGTATCTGGGGCTGCACACACCATACCTGATGAGCTGTTAGGTTGGGGGTCTTCTTAATGGGGAAAGGGAGGATTGTCAACTGGGATTTTGTGGTCTTACAAAGGATAACCTGGTGTGCCCATTTATGGGATGGGAAGGACCAAGAATGGTTGACTTCTAAAGCTATTTTGTTTCAGGATTAGAAGTCTGCTTTCTCCTGTAATGAGTATTTAATAGACAAGACTTCTGTTTGTGGATAAATGCCAGGAAATCTTCTCAAGCAACGCTAACAAATTATGCCATTTGGCAATATTAGTGTATGGGCAGTAACCTTTTCTTGAGAATTTTTAGCAGATAGATTTAGTGTCAAAAAAACCCATAATAGGCTGTAATATCTTCTCCAGTCTATCAGGTTTGTTACCAACTTTTTAATGTATACCTTCTACTCATTGAATTGAAAGACCTTATTGATCTCTTTGCAGCTGAACTGATTATTGGGGTAAGAGAAAGGCTTCCTGAAAGAAGCCAAGAGAAATTATTCATTTAACATATTCCCATTTTAGTAAACTTCCATTTAACCTCCAGGGTTAATGAAAAAAAAAATGGTGGTTGGCTGGCATAAATTTATTAAATCAGACAGAAACTGAGTTCAGGCTAGTACATTTAATGTCAACGTTTGTAATAATCTTAGGGGAAAAAAAATCCACACAGATTTATTAGTATTGCAGAACTGCTTTATTTTAAAACAACAGCCATAAGAGCAAAGGAACCCAGCAAGGAAAGTAACCCCCAAAATGGAGACACATTCTGTACCTCTGGATAGTTTGGAAATACCTAAATAAGGTATTGGGGACTTTGTAGGTCTGTTGTTATTGGCTGAAATCCTGTTGTCATCATGAGGCATTAGCTGGCTGGTGTCTGTAGCTTCTTTGAGTTGGGATTAGGGGATTTGGTCTGCTGTCCAGAGGTGCCATGGTTCTTCCCCATGTCTACAGGGTGAATGTTGCACATCAGAGCTGGCATCTTTGTTAATGTCTGAACAGAGGGCGAGGATTAAATAGGCCTGACAGCTGAGGGGATTTTCAAAGGCACGAGTGGTATTTAGACATGTATCTTCTGCTGGTTTCTGTTGGTTTTCCAGACTTGCTTTCAGATGCCTGGTTTGATGTGGGTCTGTCACCGCACTGCTCTACCTGACGCTGTTATGGACAAGCTACTTATGGGTGTTTGATGAAGATTTGGGGAAATTTTCAGAGATACAAATGTCAACACCCAAGTTACACTGATGAGATGGAGAAGCCCATTCTCGATAGGAAGGAGTTAATAAAGAACCTGGAGAAGGTTCTGTCTTGTCACTCATTGTGTGACAAGCTTGGAGGTGAGACTGGGTGGCATAAAAAAGGCGCAGTCTGATATTTTGAAGCTGAGCTCCTCTGATCCTGATTTGACTTTGTATCTGAAGCAAAGGGGAGTGGGGCTGGAATATCCTATGAAGCAGCAGTTCAGGAGGGGAGAAGCCTTCACTGGAAGGACTCTATGGAAAAACAAATGAGTACTAAAATACCAAAGTGCAGCTTTGTGACAAGTTAGTTATTGTTCTGTGCAGAATAAGTTAAACCATGTTTCAGAGAACACAAGGAGGAGCGTAAAAGGTCCAGCACTGGATTTAGATAGAAACTGCTGACACTGTTAGCTGGGTGGTATTTGTGCAGGATTTTATTAGAAGCCAACATCATAAAGCTGTCCATTCTGTCAGCCAGTTTCAGGGCAAACTTTTTCTCCTCCCTCCTGCCATCAAATTGAGATGACAGGTTTCTAAATGGTTTTCTTCTGAAATGTGACAAAAAGTATATTTTTGGCAACTGATCTTGCTTTGTGTCTTACGTGATATTTTGTCCCTCCTGGCCTGGAATATCTTCTGTAGTTAGAGCCCTTTGAGACATATTCCCTCCCTCAGAGTATGGAGTGAAATTCTACCTGGAGTTTTGTTCCAGTGGAAGAGCAAATCCAGTCTTTTACCAAGTACTGCAGTTTGAGTGAAGCAGCAGGAACTAGCAAGGAATGCTTGTAATATGGGACATATCATGTATAGTAAAACGTCATTTTCAAGTGCTTTCTGAACTATCTGTCCTAATAATGAAGCAGCTCTGAAACATCACATGACTTTCTCATAGTGTGTTGCACTCAGGATAACCTCGCCTTTGATCATGATGTCACTTCAGATGAAAGACTCGCATGGAGAGTGGTACATTGTGCATTAGGATCGGCAGATATCCTCTGGGATCTGAGCAGTGAAGGACTATTTGAGATGTGCGCTCTGTGCTTGTCAAAGAGAAGTAAGTGCTGCAATAAAAATAGAATATTCAAACTCCTCTCAGTCTGGGTAGAAGGAGGACTTCACCTTTGTGCAAGAAGACCTTCTTAATCTGCAAGTTCTCCTAGAAAGGGTTTTAAGAGTGAGTAGTCATTTTTACTACCATCCAGTCCAGGGTCAGATCAGTGATTTCCTGAATGTTTGAGTGGGTCCAGGTGGCCTTGCTTGAACAGGGGTCTTGAACCAGGTGATCTCCAGAGGTCCCTTCCACCCTCAATCATTCTGTGATTTTGATATCTTGATACGCCTACCAGTAGAATTGAAACAAACATCACAAAGCACTTTCTTCTGCTTCTGTTAGCACCAGCAGCTCCCTACAGCAGTCTCAGTGAGCTCTGTAGTACCTTTATATGGCTTTATGGCTTTTCTCTTGTGCCTGGGAGCTTGGTATTTGGCACCTTATGTCCCAGTTGAGCTTTTCTAGTGAATTTAAAAGCAGAGTTACAGCCACACACACTGTGGTGCAGAGATGGCAAGAGGACTTCACACACAAAACGTCAGCTGGCCTAAGCAAGCCAGTTCACTTCCATGGCAGTACCTGCTGGAAAACTCTCCAGCCACCAGTAATGGCATGCCATTCCTGCAGAGGCATTTTTCTTACCCTGAAACCTTGACCAAACACACGTGGCCAGGGATGACGCTGGGACTGCGTCCTGTTGCAGCAAATGCTTTCCTGCAGATGTGCTTCCCATTTTGCTTCGGCCTTGCTCACACCTCCTTAGCATTTGCTTTCAGGGAATGTCTGAGTGATTGAGGGTGAAGGCCTGGCCCCATGCAGCTCTGCCACCTCCTTCGATGGAGTCAGTATTTCACCCGCGCAAACGGTGACAGAGACTGAATGTCAGAGCTGCACGCACAAGCTTTCACAGAAATCAATTCTCACATGCAGCATTAATACTGGAAGTGCTTTTCTCTCACCTAATCGTTGGCCAGGCACAATAACCTGTGACTAATGGCCATTTGTGGTTATACAGCACGGCCTAATTATAAATATTTGCCATTAGCCTGTAAAAAAAAAAAAATCTCAGGCTGTTAATTGACCAACGTGTATTCCTGAGGAAATCAGAGTAATCAGATGGATATTCATTGCAATGAAAAGGACGGTGCAGCCAGCTTATGCTCTGCTTTTATGATTCATCTGCTTTTGATTATTTTTTCCTCATGTGAGGCCAGTATTGTAAATCAAAGATTTGAGAAATAACCCTGTGCTTGAAGTGACCCAAATTAAAAGCCAATTGCCACCTTTCTTCTCTTACTAGGCAGCCGTCCATTTCTGTGCAGGAACAGACATATGTTAAAGGCTGTCATGCTGCTGCAGAAGCAAACCAGTGAGCTCATGGGCTGCCTCTGCCAATGGTTAAGGTCAGCTACTGGGAAAAATTACAAGACAGCTATTACAGCCAGGTACGGTCCTGCAGAAGGGCCTTCATTGAGAATTGTTACTCTTTGCTCAATTTTGTGCAAGCCAGTGAGACTGTGACCTGGAAAAATCGCTTCTGATTCTCGAAACAAGGACGGCAAGGTGTGTGCAGGTCGGCGTCAGTTTGGGGGTTGGGACTTTTTTTTTTTTTTGGCCATTCAAGTTTTTTAGTCATAAACTGCCTTTTTTGTTGACAAATGGGGATCATTCCTGAAAATTGTCAGGACAGCTTGTCCGTGTGGTAGATTTTCTTCTCTTTCCCTACCCTTTAAAGCATTACAGGAGCTTGAGCAACAATCTTCTTGGCTGACACGAAGGGCAGAGGCACCAGTCTGATAGAGAGGACGTACTGTCACCACTGCAGCCCAAGGGATTCTCAGCCCTTACCTAAACATCGTGACACTCTGGCCTCTTCACTCTGGTCAGCAGCCTTCACTTAGACACAGACTTGGATCTAGTTACAATTTTAACGGGCAGAGCTCAGAAAAGTTATTAGTGACTGTAGGAAAAAGCAAGTGAGCAGGCCATAAATCAGGCCATCGGATGAATTCAGAACGCACTAATAAAATCAGAGCTTCCAATAAATTTCATTTCAGGCAGAGTAGAAACAGATTCTCAGTCGAGAGTTCAGCACAGATTATAATTTCAGATGTGTGGCTGGTCAACTCAAAATGCCTACAAAAATGTTTGCAAGCAGGCAGCAATGGCTGGTCCAGAGCCAGGCCCTCACACCAGCTGAACTTCAGTAGGATTAAATAAAAAGTAGAATCTCTACTACTCTGAGCAAAGCTCAATCTAATTAAATATTTAATGTAGAGTTTTTTCTCTCAAATCCTTTGGTTTCTTGCTCTTTCATACTGTGATATGATGACATTTGAACAACAAATGCAGTCTTGGTACGTTGGTCTCCTGGTACTGCTTTTTATATGAAAAGCTTGCACATCCTAGCTGAAGTCCAGATGCTGCATTTATGAGGTATTTTGTCGTGATCAATTTTTAAAAAATATTTTTCCGTGCCATGAAATTAATAGGCACCCGGGGAAATACCAACCAACTCCTCCCTGCTCCTGCAAATACTAACCTTTCCCAGATGGGAAGGTATTTCTCCTTCCCTTTATTTACCTGCAAGATGTCCTTGCTGGTACTCAGAATCACAGAGAGAGAAGGAAACATTAAGTGGAAAACACTACAGACAGTCCAACTGCACTAAGAACACTGAATTCTGAGGAGCCATTTACTGCATAAACCCTGCATAATCTTCCCAGGGTCACAGAGTGAGTCATTAGCAAGACAGCACTAAGACAGAGGCATCCTGATTTTTCTAACTACTCTGATTACTTTAAGACCCCAATTTAAAAGGCCATAGGTTTGTGCTAGCAGCACAGTCATAGAGATAACTACTCACAGCTTTACAAATTGGTTTTCTTGCAATCATCTCACTAGTGCGGGCCTGCAGCCCTTTTGTGTTCTGTGTTCTCTTCAAAATTATTTTTTTTCTACCAAAACCAAAGCAAGCCAGAGATGAGCAGCAGCCTCACCTCTGCTGCTCCATGCCCACAGCAGCCCTGGGTGCTCAGGCCAGCTCTGGGCCTGGGACCCGCCCTTGCCAGGATGATCCTGCCCGCCTGCATCAAGCACCCTTTGCGTGCTCATCAGCTGTGGCCATGGATTGTTCTTCAAGAGAGACTTTAGGATACTTAAACCCAACCAACTGACCCAAGAGAGCACTGGAGGAGAAAAACTGAACCCGTGTTCTTTTCTTCCCAAGTTTTCCTTATTGCTGCAGTTCCCTTCCAGAATGGGATGTCTGTAGGTGGCTGTTTTGGCATCATCATTGGAGACGGAGTTTAGAAGCTGCTGGTATGTCTGCTTAGCCATTGGTTGCCATATTCCCTCTCTGTTAAAAAAGGGAGAGGTTTTTTGTACTCATTTTTCTAAAAAATGATAAATATTTGTTTTCATAGACTCCTGCGGTGTTTACACCCACCACTGAACTCAGCAGATGATGTTTGGAGAGATGATGATGATCTGGTCACCCCCATCCAGCCACCGCATCCCTCTGGTGAAGGGAAGGCTGATTCATTATAGACCAAAACACATAATTCTGGAAAATGGTCACTTAGCACATTTTAGATAAAATACAGACATTTTCTGAACAAAATTTGTTTTTGCAGATTTTGTTTGTTGCAGATGTACATTTTTATGTCACTAAAATAGCAATTTGTAATTTTCTCATGACTTTTAATACCTGACTGAAAATGTCTCAAGTAGGTGTGTGCTTCAAATGCTACAGCCCCTCCATGGAAGGGACACCTTTAGCCACACTGGCTGACACTTTGGTGTCAATGGCATCATTAATTTTAAGTGGAAAAGCAGCACAGGCTTGCAGCATATGACAGCTCTATGTCTTTGATGCTTCATTTCATGTATAAAGACATTCAGTGAAAAAATAATACACCAACAAAAGAAATATAAATTTTCTTTGGCACCAGAAAAATATGTATTGAGTGATT